TATACTTCAAGGATCTGAGGGCAACATGGAATATGCGAGTTGGTGCTGGCCCTGGAGCTGGCCAGGGCAAGGGGCGACAAGGAGGCCGTCGTGGTGGCCGGGGAGGACGCAGTATGGACCCTATGAGCATGGGACAGAAACACTCAGAGCAAGAATCAGATGGTGACATGGATGCGGTGATGAAAGAAGCAGATGGGAACAGGAAGCGCATGCTAGATGACCTGGGTGTGATCAGCCAAAAGACAGCCCCGCCTGCGGCCAACAGTGCCCTAGCCATGCCACTGACGATGGTGCCGGCAAGTCCCTCATCCAAGCAGGAGCAGAAAAGGCTCCGAGCAAACCAAGATAAGAACAACTTGAAGAAGAGTGGTGCCCCGGAAAAAACAAATGACACAAAATCGGCGACCTCCCGTGAGGAGGATCGCCGGGCCAATGAATCTCCTATGCTGGAATTGTCGTGGTGCGGGCAAAGCCGCGACAATTCGGGAACTTCGTGATCTAGCGAAGCAATTTGCCCCGACCGTGTTGTGCGTAGTTGAGACACAAATTTCAAAAGCACGGGTCGAAAGTCTTGGTGACACACTAGGTTTTTCTCATGCTTATGCTGTTGGTAGCACCAGCCGTAGCGTTGGTCTTGGCCTTTTTTGGAATGATGGAATAAATATCAATGTTTTTGGTTATTCGGAGTACCACATAGATGCCACAGTTAGCTCCCCTAACAGCGCAGACTGGCGCCTCACCTGCGTTTATGGGGAAGCCCAAGTCGGAGAGCGATATAAAACTTGGGATATGCTAAAATCTTTAGTCTTGGTTAACCCATTGCCCTGGCTATGTTTAGGAGATTTCAATGAGGTCTTACATGCCCATGAACATGTCGGATCAGGAAAGAGGCGTGCTTCACAGATAGCTGGCTTTCGAGATGCGATGGATGTCTGCGCTCTTGATGACTTGGGCTACCAAGGTCGTCCATGGACCTTTGAGAAGAAAACAGCAGGCGGCACATATTGCCGAGTGCGTCTAGACCGTGCTATGGTGAACAGTGATTGAGTTGATATGTTCCCTCATGCCACTTTATTCCATTAAAATGCAGCTACCTCGGACCATTGCCCCATCCGGTTGCAGTTAGAACCCCGTCCGACAGCTAACAAAGGAGATAAAATCTTTAGATACAAGCTGTACTGGGAGAGACATGCCGAATACAAAGCGGCCCTGGACAGTCTTTGGGCGCAGGAGCAGGGAGCGAACACTGTTGCCGATATGAATAAAAAACTCACAAACGTGTCTATCTCTCTAACCCAATGGAGTGGGGCAACAATCGGGAAGGTGTCAAGGAAGATTAAAAAACTCAAGAAAGCACTTGCAGTTTTCCAGAATGACCCCCAGAGAACTGCTCCGTCACATGCAGAGGTCAAAATGGTGGATCGGCTCATCGAGCACTATCATATGGAAGAGATCCTGCTTCGACAAAGATCCCGGGTGGACTGGCTTACGGACGGAGATAAAAACACGAAATACTTCCAACGACGAGCTAGCATGCGGCGTAGGAAGAACCAGATTAAAAACCTCCAACGGGATGATGGATCGACGATGCAAGATGTGTCAGAGATTGCCAACCTTGCGAACTCCTTTTACAAAAATCTCTTTACTTCCGAAGGGACGTCGGGCATGGATGAGGTTTTGGCGGCTGTTCCGACCAAGGTGACAAGTGAGATGAATGAAAACTTACTCGCACCGTACACGACAGAAGAGGTTAAGACGGCCTTGTTGCAAATGTATCCTACGAAGGCACCTGGACCAGACGGATATCCGGCTCACTTCTTCCAAAGGCATTGGGCCTTATGTGGTACTGAGGTAACAGAGGTGGTTCTTCGCATTCTTCGTGGTGAGGAGAGCCTGGAAGTAATCAATGAAACTATCTTGGTTCTAATCCCGAAGGTAAAAGATCCAACCCAACTCACGCAATTTCGACCCATAAGTCTCTGTAACGTCCTTTACAAGATTGCTTCAAAGGTTTTGTCCAATAGACTAAAAATCATCCTGCCTGATATTATCTCCGAGGAGCAATCTGCTTTTGTGCCAGGAAGGCTGATTACAGACAATATCATCACGGCATATGAATGCTTGCACTTCATGAAAAGGAACAAGGCGCAAAGAAACTGTTTCTGTGCAGTTAAGTTGGACATGATGAAAGCTTATGATAGGGTTGAGTGGAACTATTTGGAGGCCATTATGCTAAAGATGGGCTTTGCTCCCACGTGGGTAGCTCTGATCATGAGAATGGTGAGTTCCGTTAAATTCTCAGTTTTATTCAATGGCACAAAACTCGAAGAATTTTTGCCGTCTAGAGGGATCCGACAGGGGGACCCAATTTCTCCTTACCTGTTCTTGCTTGCAGTGGAGGGCCTTTCGTGCCTCTTAAAAACTACAAATGAGTCATCGCACCTCAATGGTATTCAAGTTGCTCCATCGGCTCCGCCGGTAAGCCACTTGCTTTTCGCAGATGATAGCCTGTTGTTTGTTAAGGCCAGTGTTGATGGAGCAAACGAGTTGTCCTCCTTGTTAGACTCTTACTATAATGCCTCGGGTCAGAGAGTCAACCTTTCAAAATCATCGATTTTTTTCAGCAAAGGGTGTCCAAACAGTCTCAGAGCTGAAGTGAAACAGGCACTCAACATAACCAATGAGTCTCTTTCAGAAAGATACTTGGGAATGCCATCAGATGTGGGAAACAGCAAAAATGGTGCCTTTAAGTTTCTGAAGGACAGAGTGTGGAACAAAGTAAAGGGTTGGCTGGAAAAAATTCTATCTGTGGGAGGGAAAAAAGTTCTAATCAAGTCAGTGGCACAGGCTATTCCGGTATACTCAATGTCATGCTTCAAACTTCCTCGCGGGCTCTGGGAGCACTTGAACTCTCTCATAAGGAAATTTTGGTGGGGCAGCAAGGATGGCAAGAGGAAGCCACATTGGGTTTCTTGGAGTACCATGACAAGGCCTAAGCAGTGTGGGGGCCTTGGTTTTCGCGATATTGAACTTTTTAACCTTGCTCTTCTAGAGAGACAGGCGTGGCGTATTCTGACAGACCCAAACACCCTAAGTGCAAGAATCCTAAAGGCCAAGTATTTCCCCACGGGAGAATTCCTCCATGCCGAACTTGGCTCTTCCCCATCTCAAGTGTGGAGAGCTATTCTTGATGGAAGAGATACTATGTCACAAGGTCTCATACGCCGGGTTGGTGATGGGCAGTCTACGGAGATATGGCATCACAACTGGCTCCCGCGCCCTCATAACATGAGACCGATCACGAGCAGGGTTGCTAATCCACCGCAGCTTGTTAGTGAACTGATAATGTCGGATGCTTCCTGGGACCGACAGGTTGTGACTCAAGTCTTTTTACCGACTGATGCCGCGGCTATCTTCTCAATTCCTCTATGCACTAAGCAGATTGATGACTTCTGGTCTTGGGCTCATGAGAGGAACGGGGTTTTTTCAGTTCGATCGGCATATCGCATGCTTGTTACCACGAAACACAGCCGAGAAGCTTGGCTAGAGGGGCGAGCGGATTCCTCCAACTCTGAAGGTGAACAGAAGTCCTGGTCCAAGCTATGGAAGGTCGAAGTGCCTTCAAAGATCAAAATCTTTCTCTGGAGACTAGCTCAACAGTCGATCCCGACGGCGGATGTGCAACACCACCGAAACATGGCGACCGTGGACAGTTGCGGGCTATGTGGTGCAACAGATTCCTGGCAACACTCTCTCATACACTGCCACGTTGCTCGTTCGGTCTGGGCTTTGCAAGCGCCTGAGATTTTTGAGGTTTTAACCAAAACAACCGAACCAGATGCAAAACGGTGGATCTTCTCTCTACTGGACACGCTTCCCTCGGCGGAGTTCACTCAAGTACTTGTTACTCTGTGGGCTATTTGGTTCTCCCGACGCCAAGCATTACATGAGCACATCTTTCAGAGCCCGATGTCAACACATCAATTCATCTTGAAGTTTATTCGGGATCTCAATGACTGCAAGGTAGCTGAGGTGAAACACACTCCGGTTACTAGTTCCGGAGGGAGGCAGCCTAGGTGGATAAGGCCACCGGAAAATTTTGCTAAAATCAGGGTCGACGGGGATGTCAACAGAGCAAATGAAGAGGGCTCTTTCAGTGCAGTTTGCAGGGACGAAGATGGCAATTACTTGGGCTCATCAGCGATCAGATGCGCCGGCCTCACCGATCCGGCAACACTTGAGGCGCTAGCTTGCCGGGAGGCTCTTGCACTCGCCCAAGATCTTTCATTATCCCATGTTATTGTTGCATCGGATTGTAAGGGTGTGGTGCAGGATATAAAACTTGGCATTGGTGGGATGTATGCACCTATCGTGAAGGAGATCAGAGAGACAATGGAGATTTTCCAACGGTGCACCGTCATCTTTAAAGGACGGGCTACAAATCTAGAGGCACATAGCCTTGCTAAGCATGCTTTTGGTCTGGACCCGGAGCACCATGTGTGGCTCATAAACCCCCCAGATCTAAATTATATCCCCATGAACATTATCCAATAAAGTGGAGTGTGTTTAGACTCAAAAAAAACTAGTTACTCCCTCCGTAAACTAATATAAGAGCGTTTAGGATACTAAAGTAGTGATCTAAATGCTCTTATATTAGTTTACAAAGGGAGTATTATTGAAGAGTGTTTGATACACCAAAAGAAAAACAAAGGAACTATCGAAATATCAAAACAAGCTTAAAAAACACACGCCTGGTGTGGGACTCGAACCCACAATCGTCTGATTAGAAGTCAGACGCCTTATCCATTAGGCCACAGGCGCTGTTTTGTCTGCGCCAAACCCACGCATCTCCTTCTTTAGTCTTCTGCGTTGCGTCTTCTTGGGTTCCGCCGTTCTCTTGTCGCTATATCTAAGACAAGACATAGCCTTCCCCGTCGTCTCCCATCTCATCACATCGCCGTCGCCGGAGCGAGGTGCGGAAGAGGTCATCTGCGCGCGGGATGGAGGCAGCGGCGAACAAGCGCAGCGGCATCGGGTTCGGCGCCACGGCGGCCGCGGAGGAGGAGAAGGGCCGCAAGAGGGGCCACGGATCCACCGCGCTGTTCGTGGCGGTGGACTACGCCTTCCTGCTCGCCTTCGCCGGGTTCCTCGCCTACCTCGTCGTCTCCCAGATCCTCCCTTCCGCCATCTAGATCGGTCGCCCGTCGTCGTTTGCTTCTGGATGCGATGCGTGTGAAATCCCGAGATCTTGGCTCGGGGTATAGTCACCTCCTCCTTGTCTCGTTTGATGCAATGGATTCCGCGTCTGTAACAATCAAAATATGAGACGACAAGTAGCTCGGATGCTGTTCCTTTGCGATTTTGCATGACGAATTGTAATGCCCCAGTCTTGCCGTGTTCTAGAACAATAAAATGCTTCAGTGTTCCTTTGTTCATGGCTTGAACTCCTGACTGGATGGTGTCCATTATATACTATCAGATTGATTGTTCATGTTTATGTTATTTATATGTTGAAGATGGATAATATTTCCAGGAACAAGAAGCTCAGGTGAATCTGAAGCGTCCCTTCTTCAGATGAGACCACAAGGCTTCATGCTTTC